CTCAAATAACTTCATGCATTATGTACTGCTTTGAATTGTGAAGAAATGCAAGCTATTTTCAGGTGTAATTTTGGTCTTGCTAAAACTTTACTCTTTTGGTAATTAGTAAGTGCTATTACGTTTTTGTTTTTCAAGGTGTTGAAGCTTTATTTTGCCGCTGTGGAGGGAAATGTTCTGTTGTATGACGTTTGAGTCACAGTCAAGTTTTCTTGTGTGCCTTAAAAGAGAAGTCTGGACACACATTGGGTCTGCTAGGCTCCTCCTTGTAAAAACAGGACGTTTATATTCATCTTAAAGTCGCTCTTACATGGTTTTAATGTCTCTGATGTGAGCAGGTTTCACCACAAAACATACAAAACAAACATTTCAGTGTGCTTAATATCAGTGTGTGAATTTATTCACTGCTATGAAATGTTGTATTATCGTTCCCTTTGTCACTGCATCGCATAATACTGGAATTTTGTCGTGCTTGAGAGATACTCCTTTTACGTTTCTACCTGTTTTTGTTTTACTTCCTGACCAAATATGACCTAGCAGAAATAAAACATTTGTGAAACATTTTTGATAGAAAAATAGTATTGATAAGTGTAATATTAACTGTACATTATGAGGTTTATTTATTCAGTCAACGCTACTATAAAGAAATGATCACTGTTTGTTTTACATGTATAGCTACAGTATACTGTCCAAAAAATAAGAAAATTGTTTATTTGAGTGTTGCATAGTTAATTACAGAACACATTATGCTCCCTGAAAGGCTCTGTTTGGCATTTTTGGGAAATATGTTTATTAATCGTCTGGTGAAGAATACAATCATTGAGGCCACTTTCAACTGGTATTATGTACATTTACTCACATTCGGTACAAGTACCTGAAAGTTACTTGAGTAATTCCAAATACTTCTACTCCCAGAAGGAAAATACTGTACATTTTATTTTTAGCTTAAACACAAATGCCCTGTAAAAGTTATAGCAATCGTATAAACTATAACAATATACCTGACAGAAGTACTTTATCTTTTGATACAGATGGGGAATAGATGGTTAACAAATCATTTAGCAGCTAAAGAGCCAGATATTCCCTCAAGTATTGCTGGAGACCAAAATCAGAGTCTGAAAATGAAGCCTATCATCTTTTTAGCTGACTATTTTCCAGAAAGCAGATAAGCAAACTCTACAAGATGTCAAGTGTTTCCTTGAATGCCATATACAAATGTGTGCTTTGAAAAAGGGAAATAAATTGTTTAAAGGTGGCATTGGTCCTACTTGTGCATATTTCAATGATATCTTGAATTTGTGTTGTAGGTTAAGCAGGCGTAGTTCCAATACAAACATCATTTTCCCAGCCTGCTTGTCAAATGTGACCAAATTGTTTTAAGCCTAAATAAAACAATAACAGCAAGTAAGTGAAGGAAGACATAGTGCATGGTGGACAAGATTATCAGCTCATAACTTTGGTTTCCTTGGCTTGGGATTTATAGTCGTTAGAAAATTATTCTTAAGGTGGTTTAATCATGTTCAGTTTGTTAAATAAAGGTTTAATTTGAATCACTGTCTTGATTCCTTATTTATTACATGACAAAACATTAAATCATCTGCTTATACAGAAGTCATTTAAGAAAAAAACATATCCCTATACTTATTTGGCTCGCATTGCAATAAAATGTTAAACCTGGCCATTTCCATTTCACAGCTACAGTCCTTTTATGTTTTATGCAGCTGGAAACAACTAAATCTGGCACAAAAGATAAGGAATGTATTAGTACCATTCCCTTTTCCCAGAGCATACATTATATAAATGGCTGATATAATGTCTTGTGCAAAAAATAAATTCAAATTTGAAAGCAATTTGAGGACAAAAAGCTGCCACTTTACACAATCACTCTCTACAGTAGTATAGCCTCTTGACTAACACCCTGCCTTATACTATATGAATAACAAAGGCAAGGGGCTTTTAGTAAACAGATATAACTCACAGAGAAACTGTTTAGAGTGGTGGTATGTAGACCTGGCCAGAGTGAAGCTCATCTGTTATTTACTACCCCGTGGGCCTGGCTCTAAAGCTGCACTCCAACAGGCACAAATACAACTATGACGTCCGGACATGAAACAGACAGTGGCTGCCGTTCGTGGCCAAGTGTTCTTAGAGGGGAGAGTAAAAACGCAGCCAGTATATGTGACAGTGACATGAATACGGTATATCTCACCGGTTTCTGTGTACACACAGACTTTCCACTCAGACCTCTCAGTGAACCTGGCTGTCGGCCTTCTGAAGGCTTAAGGGCTTGGCAGACTTGTTGGAGCAGTGTTATGGTATCTCTTCTGGACAGCTGTTTGGTCAAACGCACATGCCACCTATTATTACATTAATTAATACATTTGTATTCCAAAAAAGCACAACAATATTGATTTTGAATTTGAATTTGACATCAGTCAGTCAGGATTTTGAGTTTGCTCCTCTGTTGTAGCTAAGGCTTTAAGCTTTCAGTGTTCATTGTGATGTAAAATATTTTCCTCAGTGAGATTGGAAGCATTAAGGGACAGACTCTGAGGAGAAGTGCAATTATTTAAAGTACAACGTTGTTCTGAGTGCAAAATATCAATTGAGAGTTTTTGTTCTCACCCTTTTATAATGTAATTGCTGTGTTGATGCAGACAGAGTCTAAGGTTGCCATAGAGCAGTGAAGCTGAGTGCTGCTGCCCTCCAGAGGCCACAAAGAGCTCCAGCACTTTTGCAGAGGACAGAAAACCCTAAAAGAGAAGCACATCAGCAATGGTTTGATAATGACAACACTGGGGAGAGCTTACTTGCACGGTTCTTATTATATTTCCTGCATCAATTTGACAAAGTGCTCTTCACACAAGGTCTACTTACAACTTTGAGAGCCTTAAGTCACATCTTAATCAACTTGCCCAGCAGGTCAAGATAAAGAATAAACGTCCACACTCAGTATAAATTACACTTTGAACAACTTGTGACAGAATAATAGACAGAACACCATCAAATGTGAAGTCATAAGTCCTTCGGGGTATCTTTATCTCACCTGCAACATCTAGAATTTGCTTTTTCTCTTTTTTTAACTTCTGTGATTTATCCTTTGCAATAAACAAACTCTACACATGAGTACAACAAGCAAGAAAATACAGACAGCCAGCAGACAAACATGGTATAAAGATGATCAACGGGCATCCATAACTTAGTTCCAAGCCAGTGAGATATGAGATATGAGAACCCAATAGAGGAGACAGCCAGCGGGATGGACATATTTCACACTAAGTTCCTGTAGGCTGTAAATCTTATTATATTCACCAAATCCAATATATCAAAAGAGTATGCAGTGTCTCACTCTGGAAAACTGCATCAGGGTTTTGATTTGGTGTTTCTGTAATTATAGCTGAAGGCAATATTATAGGCTACAACTCCACACTGGTAACTTCAACTTTTGCTGTGTCAGTCTAAGCTAAATTAAGCAGCCCCAGTGACCACAGAATGAAAACCCTCTAAACCAAAGTCAGATGTTTCGGTTCTCCAGAGGAGGCCAATCAAAGTGAAATGCATCACTATGGCTCAGAGTGTTATGGGTAGGAAATAAAATGGATGACAGGCAACCAAGTGTGATCTAATGTATCTGCAGCATCCAGCTGATCAAACACTTAGGCTGTGATGCATATGCAAAGATGTGTTTTTATATTGGATATAAACACATTCTCTACCTTATATTTATTCCTAGGCAGAATGCTTTTAATGCAACACAACTGAGAGGCTTAATAATAATGGTGATTATGGCCTGTGATAAGTTTTCATTAAATTGTTTATTATACGCCACATTAATTTGCAATTAATTCACCAGATAATTAATCCCTTCTCATATGATGTTCGTAAACAGTGGCGGTGATTGCCATGCAAAATGCAACATGTGGAGCATTAAAATCAATTGAAATGGCTGTTTTTTTTACAATATCCACATCTTCTCTGTAAATCACCTGTCCTAGATACTCGCACATTTATTTATCTTTTAGTTTAATGACGGCTATAGACTTCACAAGAACAACCAACTTTCCTGCTAAAAACTCCCTCTTACAAACATGGACATGCATCTTAGCTTGTTGAACTAGCCACCAAACAAAGATTTACCTGGGGAAAATGCACAGCTAACCTCAGTTTGCAGCACAGAAACCGCATTTTGACTTACCAGCATGAGTGACTTTAGTCCAGTCAGCTGTTGTTGTGTTCCTTACTCCTCCTTACACAGACGGATTCAATGCCCACTAACTTGATACATCCATGCTAACAACACGCTGTCCGTCAATTACTTACTGACTGGCAGCCTTCCAACTGCTGTCAATCAAACATTGACACCGACACGCCTCCCCTTAAAAGGAATTTCTGATATTTCCTCAAATACCTGTCTTTCTTCCTTTTAAATAATGAAAAAGTACTTGCGCAAAATACGTTCACAATATCAGTGATAACGATGTCTTGCACTTGAAAGAGACAATTACGTTTCAGCTATTTCGTATTTTCTTACCAGATATGCATTTAGTTTGTGCTTTAATTTGTATTTGTTCAAACCCCAGAGGCTTTATAGCATTGGGAATACTTGAATGTATTTAACCGTGTTAATTTATTGTTTTGTGTATCATTGAATGTATGGATTTAATATGCTAAAGTGAGTGATAAACATGTTACACTTACGCTTCCCTGCCTATACAAATACAAATGCTAAAGAAACCTAAATATCACACATCAACTATATAAATAACTATTGTCAACTTGTCCCTTTTTAGAATGATATTTTTAAATATCATCTGGCTTTTATTTCATTCATACGAAACGTATTGCAACATCATGGCTGGTGTTGATGAAGGGGTATGTGAGATTGTCTTATGCAAGAGTAAATGTCAGAACAGTTTGGAAAACACTATAGGAGGCCCAAACCTGATGTGTGGGCGAACAGAAACTATGGGTGAAAAATGATTCAAGAGAAAAAAAGCAGGTACTTATGATTGTTAAAAAGTGCATTTATTGAATTCATTCTTTTGGCACTTCAATTATCATCATTGGTCACACAGTTAACATTAAACAAAAGTGAGCATCGCAGTACTTCTGCAGCTGAAGAGTTATGTAAAAATTACTGCCCAGCAGAAATTCAAAATGTTATTATTAAAAGAGCAGTTCTTAAGAATGTTTAAGCGGTTGTGATTTTTTTACGAGTACATTTCTTAAAATAATAATAATAATAAAATAAGTAATAATATGATTTTTAAGGAATGAATAAATATAATTTCAAATGACGTTTCAATTTGGACAAATAACCCCTAAAATGAAAGTAAGACATTTTAGGGGAGATCATCAGGAATTGAGAGTGTAAGATAATACTGTGATAGTCTGAGATGCTCACAAATTGTTTTGTTAGAACAATATAACACAATTAAATTGGATAAAATATTTCACATAAAAGGTGACATACAGTATAAGAAATATAAAAAAACATGCAAACAGACAGCACCATGGTGAGACTAACGAAAAGCAGCTTTGGCAACAACTGAGATTTTCTTTAAAGAAAGGAGGAGAAAAAGGTTAAACTTCAACAGCTCAAGGCATTGTCAGTATAATGAATTGTTTCAAACATGCAGTAAGCTTTAAATGCATAAAACGTTTTTTTTTTTTTAAATGACATCATAAACTTACAAAGAAGGGGTTCAAAGATTGGACACAAAATGATATCTTAGTTCAAGTTAAAGGTAACCACTGAAGAATATCATTCAATCATTCTTCCGCTCACTGGTGTTCTCTTTGGCTGCGTCACTAAGTCTCGATATATTGCTCCTAATGCAACGTCTCAGGTACTGTATCATGTAGACTCATTTTACCAGATGTCTCATTTCATTTCAAAGTCACAATTTGATCTGGCTGCTCATTTTGGCAAAAGGTACCGGAGTAAGATTTCAATCCTTACTTAAGGTCTTAGGGTTTGCTTCTTTTTCTTTTCACAAAACAAATGCATCAGTTGAGTAGTCTTTACACGCACGTTCAGAGTTCTGCCAGCTCCACACATGATTGCTAGGGCTTTTTCTCGAGGTAATTTGAGGGAACCCATCCTTTCCTAGGTCTGCCACTGTCCAGAATCTTGCAGTACCACCATCCATTGGGGTTTCTGTCAAGGACCTCCAGACTTGTCCCCTCAGGAAACCCCATGGTCTCCTCATCGCCATGATAATCTGCTATGGAGACAAACACCTCTTTGAGGTTGTTATGGATGATGTGGGGCTTTGGTTTAACGGTGGATACAGGGAAGGCATTCCTCGGAGAGCCAAGGCCAAGAGATTCAGAGCTACCATTAGCAGATCTGTTCCTTTGGGGTAGTGCTATGTTGTTTGGCGGCAAGTTGCGTGGCACAGTGCCGAAGGAGGCATTGCGTCGCACCGTAGGGCTGGCACGAGGGTGGTCTGTGGAGTTGAGGGACTCGTTTCGCCTGAGAGAGCCAACAGGGCTGGCACCGTCCCTGATCGGGGCCGAAATGAAGACGGACTGAGGTCTGACCACCTGCTGCTGTTTGGTACTATTCTGCTTCCGTGAACCAAACAAGCCGATGGGTTTTGAAAGGCCACCTGGAGGCTTGGATGGAATGGGTGGGGTGACCTTCTTAAGGTTTTGGTTTATGTTGTTCAACGCCTGCACCCTTTGTTCATTCTTCTCTAGGCTGTTGGACTTGCTGATGCTTCCAGGTTTAGTTGGGGTGCCATCAGATTCAGACCCTGCCATGTCATCTTGTTGCCTGACTGGCTCCAAGAAGTAAGTCGGGGCCCAACCCTCTGTGTCTCCCCAGCGGATATACCACCAGCCACTCTCCTGCTTCTCAAGCACTTCCACCTCCACATTAGCTGGGAAGCTGACCTCAGTCTCTTGGACCTTCTCATAGGGATTGGTTGTGCGATACAGGCTGCCACCTTCCAGATCAGAGTCTCCCCGGCTGCCTTTAGAGTAGATGGAGGAGAGATCGGACGTGCTCTGAGAAGAAAAGGAGTCCTCTGAGGAAATAACAGAAGCTGTCTCAGAGTCCTCACCCTTGGTTTTGGTGCCATTCTTCAGCTGACCTATTGGCCGCAGCTGTCTCCTCAAGGAACTGATGTCCATCTTCTCTGCACTGGAGGCCTTGGCTAGTTGTGGTTTAGGCCTCACCACTGGCTTTGGTTTGGAGGAAGACTTGATGGAAAAGGATGCCTTGCTTTCCTCTTGGTCTTTCTTAGTTCTAGACAGATCTGGGGTGGACTCAGGAGAGGCAGATTTAGGACTGGATGCCTCCTTAGCTTTGGGTGAAAATGGGCTCCCATTCAAGTCTATCTTAAGCTTGTGACCTGCAGATCTCCATCCCCCTGATGTCGGGTTTGCAGTCTTGCCAGTTTCTGACAAGACACTTGTCTTGGAGGAATTTGAGTCTCTGCTGCACTGCCGTTCAGGTGTCTCCCTGAAAGGCAGAAAGCCATCATTCTCATAGATACACTCTGCCTCCGCCTCCCCCTCTGCCTCGTGGCCATCTTCAAAGGAGTTGCACATCTTGAAGGATGCACTATGGAGTGACGATGCCGGAGAAGGCTTGGAGGACAAGTGGGATCCTTTCTCTGAGGATGTTTCCCCGTATTTTACATCCACCAAGGAACCTTCTCCCCTCAGAAACTCAAACTCAGACTCCATGTCCAGATCTCCAATGGCAGGTACATCATATTCTGGCTCTTCGTACACCAGCCTTCCTGGAGACACAGGGGACTCTGGAGCTTCAGATGCGGGGCTGCTGGGAGGTGCAGTCTCCGAGGAGTCTTGTTTTTTGACAGGCGGAGCTGGTGGTGGAACTTTTGGGCGGCACAGAGTGCTTGTTCTGCGATTCAGGTTGGGCTTTTTACGTTTGTCAATGTAGGAGCAGGGAGCCCAGCCTTCCTTTTCTCCGATATGGACGTACCACCAACCACCAGAATTCTTCTCAATAACCTGAAATACATATTCAAAAAAATGTTAAGCCTGCATTTAAAAGGCATTTTTATACATTTAAGATTTGTATTTTTTATTTTGATATTCTCTTAGAATCGAAGGGTTGTTGTAACTGAGCTATGATGAGAGCAATAATACAACAAGAAATACATATCGGTTTGCAAGTGTATGAAGGAAGTTAACATTGAAAAGAGTGCTTACCTCTGCTTTCTCTCCTCCATTGAAAGTGATACCATCAGATATACAGGACTGGAAATCTGCAATGGTGTAATACTCTGCTTCAACTGTAGGGGCCTCTGGTGGGGAGGGCAACTGAAATCCCTGAACACAAAATAAATCAACACTGTTAGTGGCACCATTAAATGAATCCAGTTTTTAGATACTTTTGCTATACTTGAGAATTTTAATTTCATGCTGCACTTCATTTAAGAGGGAAATATTGAGATATTGTATTTTTACTTCACTACATTTAACTGACAGTGACTACGTATTTTCAAGATTTTACATTTTAAAGCACAAGATAGGCTAAAGACCAGTTTAGACCTTCTTGACTTGTGGCCCCACAAAAGTAACAACAGTGTCTGAGTGAAGCCCCTTGTAACATTTAAAATGTCTACAGTTAAGTTGGACAGATTTCATCCTCACAACTTTCAGATGGTCAAATAAAACTTCATGGCAGAGTTAGCTTTTGAGAGGCTGCTCACACACTTACCAGGGTTGCGTCTCTTCTGGGAGGAGGTTTTTGCCTGAGAACTGGGGAACCTGTGAAACAAACAAAGGTAAAAAAGTACATGATTATTTGGTCACTTTTGAGAATAGACACTTATTAAGAATAAGATAAAAAAATTCATTTTAGTTAGAGTTATTTGTAATCTGTAACAGGCTAATTTCAAAATACACAATTTACCAATTTCCACCCTATGAGGAGCGATGCGAGCTATAGCCGGTGAGGCAGGCTCTGCTTTACTTTTTCCATCTAGTGGGATATTAACAGGGCTGGAGTCAGCACAAGGCATTGGGAGGCTGATCTCCTTCTTGGCCACTTGGGGGCTCTCTGGGACTCCTTCAATCTGCACATCTTTCTCACTCAAGGCTTTCTTGTTCAGCAGGTTACTAATCTCCATGATGTTTCCAATGATCTCCACAGGGCCGGTCACCGTCTTCTTGCGGGGAGAGAGATCATCCTTCATCTTCTTCAGGTATGAGGCTGGAGCCCAGCCCTCTTTATCCTGGTACCTAGTAAAGTACAGTAGGTTGATAGAGATAAATAAAATATTACATCCTCTATGTTTAATGGAAGATGTAAAAGAATATCTGAAGCCAGTGAGCAGACGTTTACCTGATAAACCACCACCCTTCCAGATTCTTCTGGATCACATCCACAATGACTCCTTTCTCGAAAGCAATTTCATCCTTGCCCTGGCTGGAGTAGGGCTGCACCGTCATATACTTCTCTTCTGCAAAAGCAATAGCAGAGAAGGACAATAAAGCTAAGATTTTGGGCTGTGAAAACAAAAGAACCATTGAAAAATTAAATAATAGTAATAAAACATAAGGATTAACAAATAAACAATGATAGATTGTGATTCATTGGCACATATGTTGCAATATGATACTTTTGATTTAATACAAACCGGAACGGTTCTGCTTTCTGGCCATTGGTTCAGCTGCCAGATGTGCGAGTAATATTATAATTCAGTGAAGTTTCACAGATGTGATGTACTGTATATTAGGTATTGTTTTGTTACGTTCTGCATAACAATTAATCAGTTGTGGTCAAATCAATTGTTAAGCCTAAATCATATTCATAATTGGCTCAACAGACGTTTCGCTTGGCCGACCCTAGTTCACATTTGTTCGCCTTCTTCCTCCATATTTTTTGAACTTCTTTAACAACACCTGCCCAATAAACTTCATAAAACTAGTACCAGAGTGTTGTCTCAAACACTTTAACATAACTAAATTCACTAGTGTTAAGGTATCACCAAAGGGAAATACAGCACATGGGGCCTGCTAATGTCCTAACAGTGTCCTTGGCCTCTTGACAGCGAGCATCTCCAAACTCAGCACATAATAGAAAGCAGAGGCTTCATGCTGGTTTATGCATTCCCATGAAGCCAAGGGGCAGAGCAGAGGCATCATTTCCTGTCATTACAGCAATTCCTTTCTAAATACAGGGAAAAGAGGTGTGTTCAAAAAGAAGAGGGGCACATAATAAAGCACTTTATATGCTGTCGTCCCAGTTGGTAAACAGGAAGCAACATTCTGGTGACAAATTATTCCATTTTCTCCACCCGTTTTCCGAGGTTGTGTTGGAGCTGTATGGGTGTTGGATTGTAAATCCCTTAACTTGCAAAAACTACAGAAGGCTCCCGGGTAAAGATATTTCCGTCTGCTTTATTTTCCTTTTGCCTGTTTCTTCCGGCCTCCTTGTGTCGGGGCTGGTAAAACGTTTGCCTCTCAACAACCTCTTCCAAACAATATCCAGCAGTGCAATAAAAGGAAACTCTGAATCAGATGTTATGTTAACCACAACATGCATCGCCTGCTTCAGTGTTTTGAATTATTCTTGTGGAGTCAGCAAAATATCTGTGTTTTTCTTTTTTTAGACAAAAAAAGCAGGATTACAGTGCTGGGGTGGAAACAGTTCTCTCTCTCAACTCCCGAGAGCAGAACCCACTGCCAAGCGTTAAGTTTGGGCTGAACTCAATAGCTTATCCTCACTCCACTGTCAGCAACCCAAATACATCTCCTGTGAAAAAAGCCCCTTAGCATTGTTAAGACAAACATCTGCAAGTCTGTGATTGAAAAGTTTTAACTTAATAAGTTTGAGATTAATAATGCTCTTTGTTTATCTGTCAATATGGTTGCTATCTGCATCACAGCAGGATACGTATGTTTGTACCACACTTTGGTACAATACAGATGTATTAAAAAATACAGCCACGCTTCATTTGCTCATAAAAAAATAATGCTCTAAAATGCAGAATAAGGCATTCCAAAGTCTATTACACAACTACTTTCAGATGACTGGGCAGTTGTTTTCTATGAATCTGGGAAGATTGGTTTTGGCACACAGTGCTTAATTATAATGAAAATGCTTACTTGAAGCACTTTTGTAACATAATTTGAGCTAAGCATCAATAATTGGTGTATATAAAGTTTAAACCTTTGCTTTCCAGGCTCATTTTATATTAAAGTCAGTTAGTGGTTAGTTTGGGTAGATGGCGGCTCACGATAAATGAACAAATATGTGCATGTAGACGGGTGGAGATGAATGTGATAAAAGACGATAAGACAGACAGACAGGGAGGAACAATAACGAGGGTGAGGGAGTGAGGGAGGTGATGCAGCATCTGTCTGAGTTCACCTCGGCTTTGCTGCCGGCTGATGACACCCCCCAACGTCCATCTCCGGTCCAGCCTCTTCAGATGAGCCTTATGCCGCTTAGTAACTGACAGACACACATGGTGACCAGACGACGACCACAAACAAACAAACATTGGAGACATGAAGACCAAGCACAAATGTTAACCAAACACACACAACACACAGAGGACATGGAGCCTCATTATTAGCTACATGGAGGACATGAAAACAAGACCACAAGCAAAACAGGGTGGACAGTTAGAGTGGATGGATGGAGGTTACAGAGGAAGTGTTAAAACAAAGACATCTTCTGTGTGGCTTGTAATTAGGACGTTGTTAGCATAGTTTTCCCATCCTGTTGTGCTAGAGCATCTGGGACACACATTGCTGCAGAAAGAATGCCATCCAATTAATAATGCAGCTGAGAGGGCCGCAGGTTGGAGCTGTGTGCTCAGGATTATCTTCTTTTGGCAATGCTTATGAAAAGGTAAAACTTCAAAATGTGTGCAAACTGCAGTCTTGTGTGTCATTTTCCTAAATGATAACGGAAGTAGTTTGGGAATAGTTAAAGAAAAGAGACATAGCTCAAACTTTCTATAACAATATCAAGTTGACCATAAATGTAATTTTAGGGAACATTATACTTAATTGTTGGGTCTTTTAGCTTAATGTTTACAGTGGTGCTAAGAAACAGCTAGCATGGTTTTGTCCATATGCAACTTTAGATCTCAAAAATATGTTATATCTTATTTGTTTAGATAAAAAAAATGGCATATACTGTACTATTGACAATCAATCAAAGTCTAACTATTCATTTGGGCAATATATATATATATATATATATTTGTTTGTGGCCAAAACAAGGGGGAGACGGTATATATTTACTTCCATCAGTGGATAAACTTACATCTCATGCTGCCTGAACTTTCAACATGTCTCTTTGTTATTTTTTCTAAATAAGCAAGAATATGTTGAGGGTTTCTGCAACAATGCAATGGCACAGGCTGATGAAGACCACAGGCCTGACAAAGAGATGCTTTATGAGTTGATTGCCATTCCAATGACTGACGAGACACATAATCACTAATTACATTGACAGATTGTCCTCCACAAAAACCCCCTGGCAGCTAACTCCAGCTATCTCTAACAGAGCAGATAAGAGTATTTGGTGTGTGGTCATACATTTGTGGTAGGCGTATACTGTATGTGGAAATCTTCTGATAAATCTGTACTCTGTAAGCCTAAATTGGGAGAAATGTAAACATATTTAACAGATTGTGAAACAGTACCACTGTTTAGCCTGATGTATTCCCTCTCAGCCTCCACCCTTGAGTCACAAGATATACAACACCGAGGGGATCCTGGGTCGCATTGTTACGCAGTACAGCAATTGTAAAACAGTAGATGTTTTTTGGCCACAGTGCTGGAAAATCTTGATGTTTTTTTGGAAGTGCAATTCGCAGCTTAATTATTTCCGTGCCTGCAGTTTGTTTGGTTTTCTCCAACACAATCCTGCATTCATCTTAAACAAGCTGCAGTTGCTGCTCTACCTGTCAAAGCCTTTAAAGTCTGAGGATCTGACACGAATTGAGCTTGATTGCTCTGCAATTAAAATGTTTTCCCCACTAATATAAAAAATGCCTGAAGAAGGACACTATGGGTTAGTAAGAGTCTCCGACAGGCCTATCAGGATGATTGCACGATTGGACACATTAGAGTCTGGCAAACCAATCTCTACATAGGCGTGTTTCTTATCAGAGTTTTGGATCCCTCTCTGACTCAAGTAAGCTCCAAAATGTGTGTCAACAGTGTTCTACTGTACTGCAACGTGTCTGCATTTCACAATGATATGCACAAACAGCATGAAATAACAAAATTCACATGGGAATTTGTTTTTGATTTACCATAACCATAATTTTGGCATGTCTTATTGAGTATTTTCATGTTCTATCCCTTATTGCTGATTGAAACACATGCCTCTTTCATGAAGTCACACCATGGTGGTAGTATCATCAAATATTGCTCTGCATCTTTACTCTACAGTGCATTACTGTGCAGCACATCACTTCAGTGGCTGTGGTCTGGTCTCTACTGGCAATCCTCCTCGCTGTTTACCCAGACCTGAATCTAAACTCTGTCCAAGCGTGCTTATGATGGCAGGCAGACAGAGAGAGAGGTGTTCACACCGGCGGCGTCAGACGTTAGCGTAGGCCGGCAGTGGTGAAGCCGGGACGAGTTTGCTCCATTCCGTCACGTATCAAAGACTAAAGGCTTAGAGCAGAGGTTGTGTCTGTGTGTGTGTGAATATAACAGAGTGTGTGAGGTTGTGTGTGTGTGTGTGTGGGTGGGCAGAGGAAGCAGACAGTGACTTACCTTCCCCAGCTTTGGAGGCGCCCAGCTCCAAGTCATCCCGTGTGCCGCTGTGGGAGTGGAGATAGGTAGCAGGGACCCAACCCTGCTCCTCTGCTGTGCTGACGAACCACCAACCTGAGGAGACATACAGAGGCTGAACATCACCAGGACTATTTACAGAAGGGCTTCAACCTACTTTGATAAATATTGATAAATCTGCTGATTATTTTATAAATGTGTTCATACGTCAGAAAATAGTGGAAGATGTCCATGCCGTTGTTTTTAAGTCAAAGATGATGTCTTGAAATGTCTTGTTTTGTCAGACCAAACCCAAAAGATATTCAGTTTAATATGATATAAAACTGAAAATATATACACACATACATATTTGAGGAACTGGAATCAGCATTTTCTGCAATAAATTAATTAAATCCATTTGGCTTTAAGTTTTTTTTGTTCTATTGTTCAACTAAAATGTATGGTTCAGCTTAGTAAAAAGGTTCATAGTGTGCAGGATGTTAAACAGATATTTCACACAATGCATCAAATAGCAAGATAAGAGGAATTTCTTTTTACACATGAATTTGGCCCGAAATGAAACGATTCTTTCCCAACAAATTCACATAACAAACCTCTACATCATGGATGATATCTGGTGATGTTACCAAAGGTCTAGCCTGGCTTATATCTCCCGTCAAATTTTTTTTTTTTAATTTAGTTATTGACCCCTGATATGATCAGATTTCTGAAATCCCTTTGATGAACTACAAATGGAAATGAACATGAGGAAGTAAATTGTATTGTGCACTTGAATTAGAATCAGAGCCAAGAACATCAGAGGAAACACCGCCTGGCTGCGGTTCCATTCGTGATGAGGTCTTGTTCAACCTGCGTTTCATCAGGATCACTCATGATTTAAGTGGGCAGGACATTTCTGAAGTGCTGTTTCTGGCCAAAATATTCATATGCAATGTTGCAACTAATTTGACTTTAATCCTCTGGGAATGACAGCATTGCTCCAACAACTGCATTATGACAAATGGCTCAGCTGTAAAAGGTGCAGATACAAAGTACACTTTCAAAAATCTGATCCCAATAATGTGAGTGGAGTACAGATATCCTTTTTGTTAGATAAAATGTGCTGTATAGGTCCTTGTGTATACATTGAGAGCCCATTAAATTCATTATTTCAACATATACATTCACTCTAAACGTATAAGTACAGGTCCGTTCTTAACAGAAAGCCAATGTGACAAAGCTGGCACAAAAACTGTCTGGTGTGTCATGCCACACATACGCTATTTGTTGTGGTAACGGGAATACAATATGGCTGACAGCTGTCTGGATAACCCATAAAGAGGATAGGGGGCTTCCATCACACTTTCACAGCTGGCCCTAACATCCAGTGCACATTTTTCCTACATAAATGGTGGGTTACGACGTAATTTAGTTGCACACAATTAACAAGGTGGAGCAGAATCTAGTATGATTGGCAGGAACATAGAAAATATGTATTACTCAATTAATAATATGGTGAAATAATAAAATTATAGGATGCCAACATGGAAATGCAAAAAAACAAGCAAAGAAATGTTAGACCATTATGTTGGACAATTATGACTCATCTGCATTTAGTTTAATAACATGTAATTACTTAATTGTGCAGTCATTCATCATAATTAGACATATGGCAATTAAATGTTGCTATAACTTAATATTAAAGATGTTTTTACTGGAGTTTGAGGTAGACAGGAAAGTACAAAGTGTTTCAATCTATTTTGTTGGATCTGCTTTATGTGGAGTCATTATTTTTTGTTTAAGTCAGAGAATTTGAGAAATGACAAATCCCAAAGAGTGGAGATTCTGCCAACTCTGAACAACTTCTCAGCTGGTATGAGACATCATGTTTTTTTCTGTAATGTATTGGTCTTTGCAAGAATGCCCATGGTATTTGTGTAAGGTCGTTTTTCTCAGGCGGTTTCATACTGTAGTTGAACACATTTCTGATGACTAAAATAATTCAATGTGTCCACCAAATGTTTCTGGAATCTAGAGGCGCAAGAGCTATCCTGCTGACGGTCCAAATTACTTCCTCAGTGGAGGAAATAACAAAGAAAATCTTTCCAGACCTTTCTGTAACTTACGCATGCAATCTCTGTGATTCATATGACGGATTCAATATTTAATTGACTAAATAGTTCAGCTACACGACAAAATAATCAGTTGCATAGTGGGGGTGTTTTGGGTGGATCCTGAGGGAAGGATGCTTTTAGTGCCTGGCACTGTGAGACATGCTGGCTAGGGCTCAGGTATGCAACACGCCATGTAATGTGCTCAGTCTTTGCTGTGGCTTGAATAAAACCTCATGCCAATACATCAGGAAAAAATAAAACGTTGTGTACAATATTCACAACCCCTTAAATAGACTTCCTCTTTCCATAGTGGAGCTAAAATGTTGTGAGAAGATTCAATTAGTGTCACCTCCGCCAAGAAGGTGATGTTCTTGGTTTGTTTTGGTTGTCAGCACCATCACAGAGAAACTACTACTTTTCATAAAACCTGGTGGAAGAGTTTAGTATGGGCAAAGGAAGAAGACATAAAAATGTGGAGCTGATCCGAATAATGGGGTGTATATGTGTAATATTTTTCATTTATGGAAACAGCCTGGAAAAGACCATAAGTGTATTTACTACAGTATATCTCACTGGGTCACTGAGAACATTTAAATGCATGTTAAGTGTTAAATGAACGGCAAAGGGCAACACTTGCTACATTAATAGTTAATTAAATTAAACTGGCTATTATAAAGAAAGGTCAAATTGGCAGGAGTAAAAAGACGTGTCAGCCCAGTGAAGGAAAAACCTTACATTTGCAAATTGCCATTTTCCCACTGACTTGCCTGCTTAGGGGAAATGTCATTCTCACCTCAGCAAACCGACACTTACAGAAATGTAAGCAGTGGCATGAGAATAAGGTGTAGAAATGTACTTTAATTGAGAGAACTTGGCTGTGAGTCTGACTATATACATACGCAGCAAAGACACATTGCCATGTTAAAAGCCTGAGTAAATAAATTCTGTTATTGATGGCTAGGGCTGTCTTGCCTGTATTTCTCAACCATCCTCCATATGGCAGGTGCTTAGGCTGAGTTCACTGAACCTCAAAAGAAGCAATAAAAGTCCTTTTAAAAAACGCACACACATTACGCAAGTGCCGATTTCCTGGTCGTTGCAGGTTTATATCATGCAGGTTGCAATTATGTAAAGTGTAGAAAAAAACACTTCTAAATGAGAAACCTGCTCCATATCTTTCATCGCATGTATTCATTCACAGTGTTTGCACTACACACCTGCAAATAACCAGCTCCATAAATCCTTGTACAGCCAATGCAAAATTAAATTGTGCTGAAACCATGTGGTGGATATGAACTATGATTTAAAGTGAAACTCACATATGGTCGTCACATATTGTATCCTTTTATTGTGATAATTCTTGTGGCATATTTCTCCATTAAGGCTGGGAGGGGAACACGATTCCTGAAGATTGGATAATGTCAACCCAGGGTTATCGTTTGTACATTCTTCATGATGACACCTTAAACTGAGGTCATAACAAAAGAAACCGCTGTTTTTTGGGTCTCCTGTTGCCAAGACATCAATTTTACTCAAAGTTAAAAGGTTAAAAGTGAAGCTCCTGTGAGGTTTGAGACTAAAGTTTTGGAATCAGATGATGAAAGACCAAATGGCAGATAATGGAAATACGATTAGGAGAAGAACGTGTTTTTTCTTCCTTGAATCCGGATGGCAGGGATTATCTGTACAGATGTGGGAGGAACAAAGATGAAGGAAGCATACCTTATGTCTAGAATTATGTGCGTGGGTTTGTCGAATAGAGAGAGCAGACTTATGTTAAATGGAAAGCTATATCTATGTCTTTATCTGTGCCTTTTTATCATTTATTTCAGTTTTTTAGTCTTCATCCCAACCTGCTTTTCCTCATGTCTCACTGCCTTGCTACTCACATAAGGAAAAGGAAAATTCTTGGAAAGCTTCGGCACAGTTTAAACCGCAAAGGAAAAAAAGAACATGCTGACTGGCAACACAAATAGCTAAACATTATTCAATCGTACGAATAAAGCTACTCAGTAAAAAAAAAACCTTTGAGCAGAGTTTAGTTTCGTAACCTCGACAGATAGGGGGTCAGTGGTTGCATAAGACAATAGCTGAACCCACAACTCTCTGGTGGAGATGTCATATAACACCATCACATCATAGTATCGAGACCACAGACATCAACATCAAATGTCAAAGCCTCGGAAAGGAAAAAGTCAAACGTTTTTTCTTGAAAACACTGTTGTATTTTTGTTTCAAGGACATCAGGAAAAACGGAATGTTTAATGTAGAGCTGAGGGCGAATTGTAACTAAGTTTATGCCTCAGTAGCCTGCTGTGAGCTGCAAAAACTCTGGTCGTATCAATTTAAGTACGTGCTTTATTCCAATAATTTCTGTAATAAAAAAACGAAAACGATGATGTCAGCCTTATTTCGCCAGCATGAAACATAAAGATCCCGTTTTTAAAGCAAAAATGTCTTTCTTGAGGAGAAAGCCTGCATCAGAACCTCTGGAGTTAATTTTATATCTTGTAATTCCCTGTAATCTCCGATGATTGCGTGGCAACTCGGCACACAGAACCCAAATTGGCATACTTAAAGTTTGATCGAGGCGAGGGCTGTCACTGTTTAGATATTTTTACAACACTATTATTGAGGACAAAATAATTCACAATAATGATTCTGTTGTGATGATGGTAGAACATTTGAAAAAAAAATATATAATAATATCGTCCGTCAAATTAATCTTTAACTTTGTGTGTTTTGTCTCGTTTTGGCAAATGCATTACACCTGAAGTGTAGGAAGTTGGACAGAGCCCGTAACCATAACCATACAAAAGCATGATTACAGAGGTGCTAGATTATTTACAAAATATTATCATTGTGTATTATTAAGATGAAATCAATATTCAAGTTTTTGAATATTATGGTAATCGTCATTACCGGTATCTGATGACTAACACTTGAGGTTATACGGACATAGAGGGCTAGTACTGTAGGTGTATTTTGTTAGTCGGACGGATT